TGGAGAAAGAGGTCATCTGCGTGCAAATTCTGGGACGTCTGTTCTGGCCAACGCGGCGCGCGCTGCTCCATTCCTGGCCTGAGATGAGACGTAGTTTCTAAGGTGGCTGCGCCGTTGCCAGCCACTATACCTCTGGGCGACCAGAGGCCATCAGGCATTGCGCCGCCATGCAGCAACGAGCGAGCCCACCCGTGAGAAGCGAGAGCGACGTCAACGAGGTCGAGGGGGCAGCTAGACAGCTCGGCACAATCTCGAAGCTCATCCTTAGGAGCAAGTTCGTCAAACTCCTTTATAGCCCACAGGAGGTGAATAATGTGGAGCCTCCTTTCCCCGGCCCGTTCAGCTCGCGCAGACGCCCTCCTGACTGAACCGGATGGCGCGCGCTTCTGAGAGGCAAAGAGCCCGCCCCCCCATGCCAGACACAAACTCCCAAGACCTAGTTCTGTGTTCCTGCGCCGATCCGAACAGCCCGGGGGAAGATTTGCAATGGCCCATGTCTTCGGGCATCCCAATTCTCCTTACTCGGGGGCCAGAAGTGCATCTAAATGATGCGTTCTAATATGGGAGTTACTGACCGCGCTGACCACGCGCAGCAAGAGCGAGAAACAATGCCGCGCGCGATTCCGTAGCAGCCTGCAGCGCTTGAGATGGTACCCGTTTGGTCGGCGGGTGGATGTCTAAAACTTCCGGGCCCGCGCTCTGATGTGATCAACTGAAACGAAGCCAGGGGCGGCCACGTGTGGTCCTGCTGGCCCCTTTGAAGCTATTGGTTCAAAACTCGCCCGCCAGGCCTGCTTCCAGATTCCACCCTGGGCTTCCAGACGGGCCTGGGCCGGAAGCGACGCCAGGGCCAGAGCGGCCTCAGAGGCCTGCCCCTTGGATTCGGGCCGAAAACATGGCTTGCCTCTCACGCGCTGGCGAGCCATCTTGGCACCGCCTTCTACAGCCTCGAGACGGGGCGCGCACAGGCGCTGCCCAATGTTCGCAAATCGTCGACCAAAGTGCCAAGGTTTCTCGCCGAAAATCCCTCGCCACTGTCGAAGTACACCGCACAGACTGCAACAACTCCCAACTGACGAATCTGAATGAAAAACTCGCACCACGTGACCTGGGACAAGTCCTGCCTTGCCCAGAGCCCACGACGGACGACGGCGCGTGGCCTTTGACAAGGAGAGTGGCCCGTTCCGCTTGGCCATCCTCCCTCACCTTCACATGCAGGGGTAGAGAAAGGCTTCCACCCCGCTGCCTGACTACTCTCCATCGCAGATGTGTAAGAACTGCCACGCAACCTTTTTTTCCTGCAACATAATGACACCGCCGAGAAGGAGCTTCTGAACATCTTTGACCCCCCCCCAGGAGCCACAACTCAACGCAGTGAAAGAGAGCGCGCTCCCCCGTGAATTTCGCAAAGCCGAAGTAGAACATGTTGGCGACCTCTGCTGCTACTCACCTGGGGGGACTAAGGGGGCGCAGGGCCCTGGTCCCACCGCCAGTGTAGAAATCGAACTCCACCCGGTAGCTCCATCCTCGGCCAGAGTGCTAAACCGCCGAAGCCTCTCCACCAGGGCGGGGGGAGTTGCGGCGAGCACGCTTGGCCATGACGAGCAGCTTCTGGGCCGGCTCACGATTTTTATCCTCGGCCAGGGCCTTCGTAGACTCGTCCTCTTCCAGCAGGGTGTCGAAAGCATGCTCGCCGAAGTCCATGTCGTCAGTGTCACCTCCACCTCCAACGCCTCCTGCCGCTGCAGCACGTGGCTCGAGTGGTGACTGCTCCGCTTCAACATTCTGCAGTTTCTCGTTGAGCTGCTCCCACAATTTCTTCGTCTCTTCGTCAATGTTGCCTCTCTCGACCAGGTTGCCAAGCATCTCGTCCCAGGGGTGGACAGCTCGGCAGCGAAAGCCGAAGGCGCTGGCGGGACCTTGGGCTGCTCAGCCAACCTCTTTGCCTCAGCCAACTCCTGAGCCAACTTGGTTCGGTACCCTTGATCTTTTTGAACCAACACAGCTTGGAGTTCCGAAATCTGTTCGCCCAGACTCGTGATCCTGGCCTGGTAACGCTCAAGTTGGTCCAGCTTTTGGCGACTTGGTTCTCGGCCCGCCTGACAAGGACGCTGGCGGGAAGCTGGTCGTCTCGGGTCTGCCGCACATTGCTGAACACCTTGCGTAGGTGCCCAACGCCGACTCCGCCCAACTGATCGAACTTAGAGCCTGCACCCATCGATGAATTGATCAAGGGCATCCGCAACGGCAAGCACATTTGGATCCGCCAAAGTGACGGTCACGAGAGAAGCCGTTACCCCAACCCTTACCTTTTCCATACCCTTTGTGTCCCCCCTTGGCTCGACCCTTGGCTTTACCAACATCGTCAGACCATACACCCTGGCTTCTGGAGAAGTTGCTGGGTTGAACGTGTCCGAGGGCTCCACCACAGTGGCAACACCACTTGTAGTGGCCAGGGTGCTTGCGACAACCACAAGCACCACACACCACGCTGCCGCGGGAGAAGGTGCTGGTGCCATCCTCGCCCATTGGGCGGGACGAGGGTACACTAAGAAGAAAACGGAAGTGCAGAGACTGTGCAAGTGACTTCCGGGCTGCCGCAGTAAAGTGCACAGGGAAGCAGTTGAGGCCGCGACTCCTCAGCGCCAGAACAAAAAAATCATGCCAGGAGCCAGCGCTGCGGACTTGGGCCACAAGGCCTACGGACCGCACCTCCTCTCCTCCTCCTCCGCCGCCTCCTCCTCCGCCCCCTCCACCTATCATTAATATGATTTGTCTGCTTCGTCTTCTTATGTTTCGTCTGTCTTCTTGCTGTTGTTCTTCTTATTGTTATGAGTATTTCTTGCTGTTGTTCTTATTACTGTGTTATATGTCGTCTGTCTTCTTGTCATGATTGTTCTTGCTGTCGTCTGTCTTCTTGTTATGATTATTTCGTCATCCTGCTGTTGTTCTTGCTATTCCCCCCCTCGGGCAGCCGCAGGGCCGCGAACACGTGCCCACGCGCTCGCGCGGGACTCTCTCTCCTGCCGGCGTGCCAGCAGGCGCATGGCTTCGGCAGCGTGCGCATGCCCTCGTCTTCAGACCCTGAGATCCGACGTCTCTAAGAAATTGCGACGTCTCGGAAAATCACTGCTGGACCACCAGACCCCATCTTTCATCTTTCTGCACCATGATTGTGAGGGTCCCAGGGCCCGAAACTGGACGAAAACGTCCAGCTCGAAAAAATTGAGTCGCCAGGATCTCAGAGGAGAAAGCCGCGATCGGGACAAAATCGGATCGGGATCTCTGAGGTCCGGCGCCGCGCCCCGAAACGTCCTGGAGCGATCCATCTCGACACTGGGACTGCCTGACATTGGAAGCGGCCAGGGCCAGGGGGTCTGAACTGTAATGGACACCGAGAAAATTGGTCAGGAAGCTGACCTTCCAGGGTGCTAGAAATTAGCCTCCAGACCTGCAGACCTATCTCGACCGCCCAAAACCTCGACTGGAACTTAGGCGTCAAGTTCCTGGTGCTACTTGTGGACCCTCCTGGGTCATGGTACGTAAGAGCAAAGCCGCCCCCAAAAAAGGAAAAGAGAGGAGGAGGAGGAGGAGGAGGAGGAGGAGGAGGAGGAGGAGGAGGAGGAGGAGGAGGGGGAGGAGGAGGAGGTGCAATGCTTCCTCCCGGGCCCGCTGTTGACGGCCCCGGGGCCCGAGAGCGGCACCCCGGGACCGAAAAGGGCAATACAAAACCTCCCAGAGCCCAGAACCTCGAGTCTCCACCCCCCCCCGTTGAGCGCGTCTCCTTCTTTCCGGCGATGCTGGGCATTATACCCTGACCTTCCAGGAGGGCTAAAAAAATAGCACGCGACCTAAAAACCTATCCCAGAGCTATTCTACGTCTTGGTTTTAGGCAGTTTCGCTCAGCATTTTAGGTTTTTAGGTCTCCAGTGCTAAAAAATAGCTCTCTGGAAGGTCAGGGTAGGGTGGGGGAGGGGCCGGGCGGGGCGGGGGGGCATAATGCAACTCCTCCCCCCCGCCGTGCGCACGGCGGCGGTGCCCGGAGCGCACTGGGGGGGGAGGGGCGCTACGTTCTAGGAGGGGGGCCGGGGGCTTACGGTGCCCATGGAGCCCCGAGCAATGAAAGAAGCACGCTCCCTGCTGCGCGCCAGGAGTAGTGCTGGGCCACCTAAGGCCCCCGAGCGCGGCACCCCGAGGCTGAAGAGGGCAGCAGAGAGCTCTCGAGGACCCCGGGAGCCTCGGACCTTGATGGGAGCTCCGCGAACGGGGGCTCATCCAAATGGGCGCTCGGGCTTCTCCACGTGCACCCGCTTGCGTTGCCCCCGTCTGCGGCGCCCGGGGGCCCCCCACAAGGGGGGCACAGCCGCACGTGGAGATCGGCGCTACCCGTGCCCCCGTTTGCTAGCCCCCGTCTCTGGCGCCCTGGCTTGACACGCCTTGCTGCTCGCCAGGATCAGTGCTGGGCCACCTCAGATCCCCCGCCGGCCTCCGAGGCGTGGCTCAAGGAATGGGGGGGGGGGGGGGGTGCGGGGCGAGGAGCGTGGACCTTTCGTGCCAGCTCTGGGCCCCAGGGGGCCTCCTTCAGGGCCTACAAGGCACAAAACAAGAGGTGCACCGTTCGCCCCCCACCCCACCCACCATGTACAGTGGAGGCCAGTCCACAAGGAACCTCCCACAAGAAACCCAACCCTGATGCACCAGGGCGTCCATGGATCTTTGGTGCGGGAGTGTCGTACTTCCCATCGCGAAGCCATCGAAACCCGAGAAACACGGGGCACCCTGGAGGCAGGCAGGGTGTTTCTTGGCATGGGTCTCCACTTCAGACTGTATCGCCCCCCCTTCGGTTCGCTGCGCGTCGCGGCTCGAGCGCTGGGCGATGGGGCTGCTCACCGCCCAGGGGTCCCCGGCGAAGCCCGACCTCGCCGCGCCGAGTGGAGAAGGCGATGAGGTGCCCCATTGGACAACTCTCCACCCCGGGGAGGCCCCCGGTGGGCCGGCGCCTCTGGCAGGACTCCTCCGCGCGCCCCCTCGCGGAAGGCCGGCCGCGGCTTCTCCAGCGGCGCGGCGCGCTCCTCCTCGGGCGGCAGGCGCGGGGGCGACGCAGGGCGCGGCGCGCGGCGGCGGCTCGCAGCGCTCCGCCGGCCCCGCCAGATCCTGGCGCCTCCGATGTCTCGAGCCGGGCGTGTGCGCCCGGTGTGGGGCCCCGGGGCCCTCACAGAGCGATCCGGCTCGCAGGAGAGGCGCAGGGGGTGGTGTCGGGAGCTCGGGCCGTGATTTTTTACGATGCTGCATCTTTTTTCGCCTCGCCAGATCTAGGGGGGCTCGAGGACCCACAGGTAGATGCACACAAACCCAAAATTTCCCAATATCTTCACATATTCCCCATGGTTTTCGTCGTCCGCCCCACTTCCCATATTTTCGTATATCTCCCTGGGGATCGACGATTCATTGTGTCGGTGTGTTTGTTCCCCTTCTAAGATCTCAGGGCACGAGTGTGCGGCGCCTTCTAGCAGCGCCCCTGCGATCCGACGTGGCGAAACGTGGCAATCTCGTAACAACTCCATCTCTCTGCGTCAATTTTCGAGCCGGATCGGTCTGCGAGGGTCCCCGGTCCAGAGAGAAGGCGAACAAAGTCGGGCTCGAAAAAATCGAGACGACAGGGTTAGAGGAAGAACAAACGCCATGCACATAAACTCTTGGCGCTTCGTGCGGATTTCTTGGATCCGCGGGGGGCGCCAAAAGTTTATGTTTGTGGCGTTATTTCTTCTTCGACGGATTTCAGGGGCAGGGGCCCCGACTCCTTCCGGGACCAAGGATCAGCGGCGAGCGAGGGGGGGGGGAAGTGAGAAGGAGAAGGCCATCTCAGAAGGCGTTCGAGCGAGGGGGGGAAGCGAGACGGAGAAGGCCCTCTCAAAAGGCGGCGGCCCCGAGCGGTCGCTGGCGAGGCCCTGGACAGCCGGCGGGCTCGAGAGCATCTCGAGGCGGACGGTCTGGATCGCCGTTTAGCTTCTACACAAGCGCGCCCCACGATTCGCAAAAAGCAGCCCCTCGCAAGTGGAGGAGGAGGAGGAGGAGAGAGGAGGAGGAGGACAAAGAGGATCGAGGATTGAGCCTTCCTTTCTGCGTTTGTGACTTACTTCGGGTCTCCAGGGGCCTCGGGAGGCCCCGGGGACCTCCTGGGGACCCTGGATCCGTCGCAGGGGATCTGCGATCTATTACGCCGAGGCAGACACATCTGCTTCTCGAAGTTTGCGAGAGCTCCTAGAAAGGAATCCTACGGGTTTCCGAGGGATTCCTATAGATGTCCGAGGGAATCCTGTGCAACAGTGCGTCCTGTGGGGGAGGCTCCACCTGCTTGAGACAGGCGCCCAAAATAGCCAAGATTTGCCCCATGGGGGGGGGAGGGGGGGCGAGGGCCCGCGCCGAACGGCAAAACAATGAATAAGAAAACGATCCCGTACTTCCCACTCTGTTTCCATATTTTAGGATTTTCATCGTCCCCTTCCACCTCCCACAACTTCTCAGTTTGGCAATGCAATCGACGCTTGGACGTGTCTGTGTCTGTTGTTCTCTCTTCATGGAGTGTCCGAATGGTATGAGCGGGGCGAGCCGCCATATGTTTGGGGCCGCTTTTTTGCCAGTGGGCGCACGGCAAAAACACAACGCCGCAGGTGACTCTCGAGAGCCTGGGCCGAAATGATTCTGGCAGCGGCTATTGCGAGCATCCAACCAGTCAAGACGTCACCTCCAGCAACGTGTTGAGTTCGAGGGGCAGGGCGAGAAGCGTGAAATTTTACCCAACGTCAAGCGCAGTGGCAAGTCGACCCACTAGGATAGAGGCCGAGGGAGAGGACACAGACATGCAGCACGTGCACACGCACACACGCACACTGGCGCGTAGAGCAAGGGCGTCATTCGGGAAGGCTGGGACTCTCGATGGATCCTCCGGGCCACTGTACATCATCAGTATGCAGAGACAAGTTGCGACGTGTACTCTGATGAAGTCACTCTCAGGACGCAGCGGAAGCACCGCCCTGAAATGCCCTGAGCCGTTCCAGCAAAATCAGAAAAAGAAGCGGCATCCTCCAACTCCGAGTCGCTGCCACCAATGAAATAGGTGGGCAAACCACCTGCCCTCTCCATTAGGTCCAGTAAAATGTGTTCCGTGACTCCCCAAAGTGCGTCCTGTTGCCGCAAAATGGGCCGCTCCTACAAGATCACCGCAAGGCCTCGAATTGCACAAATACAATTGTTCACGCGTGTCATTGCGAGCAGGCTCAGTGCATGAACGTATTGCACACACAACCGAGCTGTGAATGCGGCCACCGATCAACAGAAAGCACACATCATCATTACATACATATCTGTATACACATGTGTATAAATATATACACACACTAAAATCACGCGCGCTGCGCGCTTAGGTTCTAGCCATGCCCACACCTTGAGAATATCACAGCTCAGCCGAAGTAGTTCCCCACGAATGGCTCCAACACGGGGCGAAGACGTATCAACAACGCGGATCGTCAGGATAGAAGATGAGCTACCGCACAATCGAATGTGAAGACATGTGAAGCAGTGACGGGAATGCAAGGAAAGCGAGGGCAGCGGAGTACAAAGCAGCGCAATGGAAGACAGATGCGAAGACAGCACACCGCAAAGCATTGCAAGCAGAAGTGAGCGAAAAGCAAATGCAAGGCAAAGGCTCTCCAGTGCAGTGCGAACCACGAATCAATCAAGGCAGGGGCGCATGCAGCGCAAAGCAGTCAGGTGCAATACAACGCAAGACGATGCAAGTGACCGAACGAATGCGAGGGACACGAGATCCCAGGGACAAGACGTTCGCAGACGAGCCCTGGTGGGGGCAAGACAGGCCCAGAGGCATCCAAGGAGATCCCAGGAGAGCTCCGAGAGAGGCTTGAAGGGGGGGCACGAAAGACCCCAGGAGAACTCAACGGGAACTCCAAAACGGGAGCTCCAAGGGTCTCTGGGAGGCATCTTGTACATTGTTGGGGGGCCTCTGGGACGTCTTCGAGGGGGCCTCCTGGTGGGCTCTGGGAGCCCCTTGGGAGGGTCCGGGAGGCCTGCGGGAGAAGCTGGGGGGGGCATGCTGGGCGCTGAGCCCGCCAAGATAATGCCCCATGACCTCTATTGGCAACCTTTCGGTCGGGCACGTCCCCATACAAGCAGATTTGGACGGACAATTACCATGGCGACGTACCCAACCCCTGCGCAAACGCGGGGCGCAAATAGTTTAGGACACTTTATACGGGGGGCGATGACGGAGCGAGGGTTACATGTCTGCAAACGGAATTCGGGAGACTCGCAGGACACTGGCTACAGGACAAGGACTAGATAAAGCTGATTAGTTACACACCCCTAGCCACTTCGAAAGCGGGGATCTCGTATCGCAGCCCCCGAGAGATGGCGAGGTCTAACTTGAGTCTGCGGCGAGGTCCCAGAGCCCCCCAGCAGGCCTCGAAAGTGGCGACAGTCTCACAGATCGCAGCCCCCCCCGGGATGGCGAGGTCTAATTTGAATATGCGTGTGGCGTCACTGTGCTGGGCCCCCCAGCAGACCTCGAAAGTGGAGACAGTTTCACAGATCGCAGCCCCCCAAGGATGGCGAGGTCTAATTTGGGTCCGCGCGTGGCGTCACTGTGCTGGGCCCCCCAGCAGGCCTCGAAAGTGGCGACAGTTTCACAGATCGCAGCCCCCCAGGGATGGCGAGGTCTAATTTGGGTCCGCGCGTGGCGTCACTGTGCTGGGCCCCCCAGCAGGCCTCGAAAGTAAAGACAGTTTCACAGATCGCAGCCCCCCGCAGGCAAGACAGGAGGAGGTAGACAGGAGGCAGGAGGGAGGCGGGAGGAGACGCGCGAGCAGTGCTCTATTCAAAACGAATACCCAAACCAAGGAGGGAGGCGGGAGGAAGGAAGATGGAGACCACAGTCCCTTATTCAAAACGAATACCCAACCAAGGAGAATTGGGAATAAAAACTAGTCCAAGAGTATTCAAAACATATTCAGCAGTACGCAAACATCGTACCCTGACTATATCTGGACTGTTTTCGAATGTTCCTCACTGTAGAGGGACATGCACGACTTAAGGCAACCTCTGGGACTCTCATGCGGTTCGCTTGGGCCTCGTTTTGGAAGCCTCTTGGGCCGTCTTGAGGCTCTCGGGGCCGCTATCGGGCGCTCTTGGATCGTCTTGAGGCCCCCATGGGCCGTCTCGGGGCCCCCTCGGGCGCCTCGTGGGCTGTCGCGGACGCTGCGAAGATCCAAGGGACGAGCGAGCTGAAGGAACATGCGTTCCCGAGGTAATGGGACGTCGTTGACCTCCTGGGGCCCGTTGAGGGCCATCCTGAGGCGCCCTGGAGGGCTCCTGGGGACCTCCTTCGGGGCGCCTCGGAGGCCTCTGGAGGAGTCTGGTAGCCATCTGGGGCGCTCTTGGAGCGCTCCCGAGCTGTCTGGGACCTTCCAGGGCCGCCAGAGGAGGCTCGGACGCACGCGCCAGGCGCTGGAGTGAATGGAAGGGACTCTTGCGCATCCTCCTCTTCCTCCTCTTCCTCCTCCTCCTCCTCCTCCTCCTCCTCCTCCTCTTGGGAGTCCCGAAACGGTGCGGTGACGGACCGTGCGGTGACCTCGAAAGCCCCCAAGGCCTCACCGCACGGTCCGTCACCGCAGGGTCTTGGGACCCTGGAGGCCCCTGTCGCCCGAGACGTCCTCGGACAGGGACTCGAGTCCCAAAACAGTGCGGTGACCCCGAATCCCCACCGACTCACCGCACGGTGTGGTCACCACCCCGTTTGGGGACCCCGGATCCTCAGGGTTGGGGGGAAACTGGATTCGTTTTCTTGGGATTCGGTGAATTCCATTGTTGTCACATTGGGGCCACCTTCAATTCGGTGGGGCGGGAAGGGGACGGGGCGAGGGAGGAAGGCGCGAAGGCGAGGTAAGGAGGGAAAAGGATAAAGCGGGAAGAGAGAAGAGGAGAGAAAACTCTGAGAAGGATGAAGAGAGAGGAACATTCGAAGAAGGCCAACAATTCGCCCCTCCCCACATCTGCGCACCGCCGAAAGAGGTCAGCGGAGGGCCGATGGCAAGGGGCCGTCCAAACCTCCAGACCTCCAGCGTCCTGAACCAAACCAAGGCCGAACTTGGAGGAAGCGACCTCGAGGATCGACGATGCGTGAGAACAGGAAAACTGTGCAAATGCACTGGCAAGTCGATGTTATTCGCCTCTGCGCCTCCTCCTCCTCCTCCGCCTCCTCCTCCTCCTCCTCTTTCTCCTCCTCCTCCTCCTCCTCCTCCTCCTCTTCCTCCTCCTCCTCCTCCAATATCCTCCAATATCATCTCCTCCTTCGGCTTCTCTCCCGAGGGGGGTCCCGGGTCAGAATGCCCCCCCCCCCCCAAGGGGGTCCTGGGGCCCAGAGGCCCCCCAGAGGCCCCCACGAGGCCCCGAGGCGCCCCCAAAGGAACCGCCAGGAAGGCCCAGGAGGCTCCCCAAAGACTGCCAATACACCCCCAGAACTTCCCTCCAAAGGCCCCCGAGAGCGCTCCAAAGAAACTTCAAGAATCATCCGGGCCCTGCTCCTGAAGCGCGCCAGCCAAAACCAAACAGCCAACTACCGTACAGTAGGGGCCCGACCACAAGAAACCTTCCACATGAAACCCAACCCTGAGACCCCATGACGTCCATTGATTTTCGGTGTGCGTCACGCTTTCCATCGCAAAACCATCGAAATCGAAGAAACCCAGGGCACCCTGGAGGCGAGCAAGGTGTTCCTTGGCATAGGCCTCCACTGTAGGCTGGGCAGCGTGGCTGCCGTGCTGCTTCATGTCTCGCTCGCGCGGGGCGGGTGCCTGGCTGCTCCGCCAGGGCTGGACTGTCGACGCCGGCGCCGTACCACTGCAGCAAGTCCCTCCTGCCCCGCGGGCCCTGTTCCCTTCTCTCGTCGGCGGCGAGCGAGGGGGGGGAGTGGGAAGGAGAAGGGCTTCTCAGAAGGCGGCGGAACTTCTCAGAAGCCCTCGCGCCTTCTGAGAAGTGTCTTTCTGTCTTCGGAGCGAAGAACCTTATCAGATGGCTGGGGGACTTCGGGACCTCCTGAGAAGGCCTTCTCCTTCTCACTTCCCCAAGTCGCTGTGGGCGTCGACGCCAACGTTGACTTACTCCCGCCAAGCTACCCCTCTTGAAGCACGAGCGCGGGCATACCCGCCAGAAATACCCGATCTCCGATCCACAGGAAGCGGGCGAAGAATAAAATCGTCGCGCTAGCAAGCTGGGACAGCAACCCGAAGGCAATGCGCCTGACTGGCGCCACTAGGGCGCGCCCCGTGGGCAGGACTTATCTCATCGGGCTTCGTGGTGCCCGCAGGGCCCACTGCACGCGCGCAGTGGACGTTCCTTGCTTACGGCCGGTTCGGCCTTCATCTGTTCGGCGATGTTTCCCAGCGGTTTCGGTCAGATGCAAAGGTTCGGCTTCGACGCGTCTGCGCCGAGAAAATAGCCACTCTCGGGAGCGGACGCGCTCCCGTTGCCGCTGGCACTCTCGGCGCCCGCCTTGGTCTCGGGAGCGGCGGCGGCAGCCGTTGCAGCGCGGGCCTCGCGCGCCCGGCCCGCTCCTCGAGCGGCTGGGGCTGGCGGGCGATCGCCTCGAACGACCCGGCCACCTGCAGTGGGTCGTGGACCACGGCTGTCCAGGACGCGGCAAAAGGTCTCGTGGAGCTTGGCGCACTCATCCCCTGCGGCCGGCACCGCGGCCGCGAGACACCCCTGATAATAGGAGCAGTATATGTATATGTATATATATATATATATATATATATATATATATATATATATATATATATATATGCGAAGCGGCCCTCCTTGGCCCCCTCATTCGGCGGAGCCCCACTGTTCTACGAACAACCTCTTTTCTCGTTTCCTCCCTCTCCTCCTCCTCCTCCTTTTCCTCCTCCCCCATCATCCTCCTCCTCATCTTCCCCCTTCCGCGCTCCTCTCCGCGAGGGGAGAAAACGCGTGAAAAGAGAGAAGAGAGGAAAATAGAGCGAGAGAGAGAGAGAGAGATAAGGGGAGGGGGAGAGAGAGAAAGAGAGAGAGGGATACATTGCGAGAGAGAGAGAGAGAGAAAGAGAGAAAAAGAGAGAGAGAGAAGATATGGCCGAGATTCGAGTTCGTTTTTTGAGCAGCGAACAACATGAATACGAACAAGTGCATTCGGGATTGCGGGGTTGCGGGGTCGCGGGGCTGCGGGGTTGCGGTGTCGCGGGGTTGCGGAGCCGCAGGGTTGCGAGGTTGCGGGGTTGCGCGGTCGCGGGGTTGCGGAGGTTGTGGGGTTGCGGGGTCGCGGAGTTGCGGGGTCGCGGGGTTGCGGGGCCGCGGGGCTGCAGGAGGAGGGGGAGGAGGGAGGAGGAGGAGGATGAGGAGGAGGAAGAGGGAGGAGAAGCAGGAAAAACTTGTTTTCTATAAATTCTATAAAATGCCTTAAACATTCCATAACAAGTATTGCTATTTCTATAAACTCAATAAACTCATATGTTTTCCAAACAATCTGAGGGGCGAGGGGAGGTGCCACTCGGGCACGGCTGATGGTTTGGGAAACATATGAGTTTATGGAATGTATAGAAGTAGCAATACTTTTATGGGAATTTTGATTGAAAATTATAAAACTTATAGAAATAATGAAGTTATCCTGCTTCCATAAAATCAACCAGCTTTACAAAACTATTCTTCTAGCGAGCGCACCTGGGATGACCAACTGAATTGTTCAAGAGCTCTCCGGCGCCAAGCTGGAAACACGCTCCAAACCGCCCAGCCGCACATTGTGGCATAGATATACATATTTTCATTTGATGTACATTCATATGTGGCGCATGTAGAAGATGTGTCCTAAGATGGTGTTTATTAAGATGGTGTATCAGTTGCTGGTGTATATCAAGATGGTGTATCTCAGGTGTTTCATAAGGATGGGGCGAAGGAAACTCGCCCCCCATACATACATATATACATATATATAGACATATAAATAGATCGGATCGGATAGGACCCCTCGGAGGCAGCGGTACAAGGGTCTCAGGCGCGGCGTGCCTCTAGGATCGGGCTACACCAGAGATTAAATGACAAGTCGCACACTGACGGGACTCGAAACGCAGGTCTTAACGCCTGCTCGATCCCACAAGCCTCACAATGGCTTCCATCGTCCTGGAGTCGGTGCCTGGGCCTAGCCTGGCAGCGGAGGAAAAGGACGGGCTCCTGGGAGGTTGTGGCAGACGCTGAGGCGGATACTGAGAGACCGAGGCCCCGCGGGGCCTCTTCGGAGGCGGAGGGAGGCAAGGGGGCCCCAGGGCCAAGGGGGGAGAGGGGTCAGGTTCAGGGTGCCTAAGTTGGCGGGGCTCAGGAGGCCCAGGAGTCCTCTGCTTCGCGGCCTCTATCTCACGGGGCGTGTGCCATCTGCGAAGCTGCACGCATCTCAGTACTCGACGTAGCGGGCGCCGCCGTCGGAGCTGCACTGGTGGGAGCAGCCGTAGTAGTACTCGTCGCACAAGGAGCATCCGTAGCTGCACTTGGGCGCCCCTTCGCCCGCGCCAGCGATAGTCACTGGATACCAGGGCTCCATTGCGCACAACTGTGTCGTGTCCAGTAGTACTCTCGATCATTTAGCCCATGAGAGTGCCTTCCATCTGCGCCAGCTTCGTGTGCAGGATCCGTTCCATGTGCACCATGGGTCCCTGGCCTGGCTTGTAGTTCGCGCCCGTCTGTATGATCGCTTCGTGTATCACGCTGAGGTCGATGTCGGTCTTGTTGAAGCTGAGCTGGAGCTTGGCCATCGCTTGGTAGTGGGTGTCGCTGGCCTTCACCAGTGGAACGAGCTCGGCGATCTGTTTCATTTCCAGTACATTCAACTTCTCGGCCAGCTCGGTCAAATTCTGCTGGTCGAGGCCACCGACTGACGCGCCTTCCTGGTGGAGGCCTTCGAGCAGGCCTGCAAACGCCGCGACGCTGATGGCGCCTATCTTCGCCATCTCCGCGTTGATCTGGCCCGCCGCGGTGGAGCTGCAGATCTCCTCGGCCTTCTTGACCCGCGCTCGGACTCGAGCGCGGATCGCCGCCGCGCCGTTGGCACCAGGGGGAACGAGGTACGTCTTGATCAGGATAGCGTCGGTCTGGCGCTGCTTCATCGCGACGATGGGGAACATCCGTTGGATGTCTTTCAGTTCCATCTCGTCCCTCGTGAGCTCGTCTAAGTTCACCTGCTTGTTCGATCCATTCTGCTGGCCGCCACGAGCTTTTCCTTGTCGTCGGCGTGCCTTCCGTGGCTGTGTCGCATCTGCTTCTGCACCTCCTGCGGGCTCCCCACCGCTGGGTAGTGAGTAGTTCGCCCACGACATGGGGGCGTGGAGTCGGTAGGTGCGCGGTGGCAATGCGCGTCTGGAGCTCGCTCAAATCGGGGAAAGTGAGCTCGCAGTCGTCGCTCGGGCAGAACAGCTGCGGTGGATCGTGCGCCTCGAAGTTAAAGACCGACCGACGTTTTAGGCATTGCCCAGACCGATACGCAGCATCAAGGCGGTTAATCGCAGTCTGTCGGCTAGCGAAGGTCGATCGGCAGTTCGGGCATTGGTTAGTAATCGTGAATCGTGAGCGTTCGCATATACGACCATGTTCGCCTCCCTCCCCGCCCATCGTCTGGTGCACTCGAAGGGCTTGTTTTGTCTTGGCCGCGAACAGACATACTGCACCATCTTAACAGAGCAGGCCGCGCGTGTGGGGGCAGTTCCAACTGACAGTTGCATCTGGAGCTCTGCGTGCTGGGGCGGGCTGTTCCAACCACCACTTGCGCAGTCGCGCCACCGCGAGCTTGATAAAAAAGTCCCTGCCCGCGGCCGGCCGAAAAATATCCAGTAAGTCATCGCCTATGACGTCGAGGCAGGCGCGGCCGTCGGCGAAGACCTGCAGCAGTTGCATATCGTCCATGAGCTGCTTCCTCCACGGGTTGCCCTTGTGGGCGTCGTCGCCCGTGGGTCGGACTGGTGCCCCGGGAAGTTCCAGAGTCCGGTTGATTTCGCATCAGCGGTCCGAAGCCACTTGCGAGTAACTGCGCATGGTGCGTCGGTTCTCGAGCAACGCGTTGCCATCTCTTGATTCGAATAATCTGTATATCTATCGACGGAGGGACCATCTTCAACTTTTTCCAAACTGCGTGCGATGAAATGTCGCGGGCCACCTCGATCGTTGCAGTCGGGTCGGCGTCGTCGACAGACTGCTTGATATATATATATAATATATATATATATATATATATATATGACGTGCCTTGGAGGAGTGCCCGGGCGCATCGGGCGACGCAGGCGTCGATCTGAGCGGGCTGCGCTTTGGGGGGGGGGGGGGGGGCGGGCTTCGAGCCCAGAGACAGCTGCGGAATAAGCTTGGCTTCTGAAAACTAGCTTCCGTCGTCCCAGCTGCCTGCACTTATGCCAGAAACGCCCCATGCTCCTCCATCCGCGAGCAGGAAGAGCGTGGATGAGTGTACTTCGCCGTCAACGTGTGTTTTACCATAAATGTAGTGCACGTGCGTAGCGATGAGCTCCAGGTCCAATGAAGGTCGGGAGTGCAGCTTTCTTGCCCGCGTTCTGCTGTAGTCCGATGGTGCTCAGCTTCTCGTTGAGGATGGCGTCAAAATTGTGCGCCTTGTAGGCCATCTGCGCGTCCGTGCACAGGCGGGCCTTGGCGAGGTCGCCGGCGCACTTGCGAACGCTGAGGTCGACGCTGGTGCCCGAGAACTCGCAGCCCGCAACCAAGGGGGATGACGTGTCCGTGGCAATCGAGGCGCTCCAAGCGTTGGTAGGCGGCTCGAACGACACACGGAACTTGATGGCAGCGTCAGCGTCACCCATGAAGCAGCCCACGTGGTTCTGGTAACGCTGG